GGGTTGTGCTTCCACACACGCAAGCCAGACGCTGCACAATGATGACTACCTTAATGGGCATTTAATAGAAATGGCGCCACGCAGTGTTTGTGTGTCTGCATCGTGTGGCTGGTATTGTATTCACCTTGTGAGTGTGCGTGTCATCATGGCAGAAAATGTGGTCCAGGAGACCCCTATTGTAGAGGAACAACCACAGAAGCGGGTTCTGGGTGCATATGTCTGTGGACAGATATTGTCAACTCAATAGCGTTGCAACTGCACAATATACAGAAACTTTACAGGTGTGCAGTTGAGATCAAAATGAAGGCAAAATTCGAAGACGGGTGTGATCTGAGCAAGGGCGCAGGAAGTAGGGGGGTAGTGAGTGTGGAAGGGGCCCTTGGCACATACTCTTGGTTTGATTTGGCATCAAGGCTGGTGTGATCCCATCAAGATGGTCCCTAGTGTTTTGCTTTGTTTTTGCTTACAGTAACTATGTCTTCCAGCAGCTTTGTGCTTGTTTGTCTTCTGGGGTGATTCACTTGTTTGTGGCAGAGCGGTGTATTCACCAGAGTGACTGAGCTGCCGACCGAGAGTCTCATCACACAGATCCTGGACATCGATTGAACATGTCAGAATTAGTCCGTTGTAATATTTACTTTGCATCTGGAGAAAAGAAATTGGATAATGGAACATTTACTGAAATTGCTTGACCTCAATAATCTTGAAGCCGGACCAGATTTTAACGAGATTACACAGACGAATCATTGTCTGCATCACAATCTTTTACACAGCATGGGTCTAACACTGTGCTCATGTTCGAGAGCTCAAGTGCAGATATTGATGGAAAGGAGGCCTTCGGCTTGTGTAGATGAGGTCATGGCTGCGAGGAGAGAACAAAGAGTTGTTGAGTTAATGAAAAGGACATTTAAAGTAGTATTGCTGATTGTGGCTCCTGGCAACATTGCATAGAATGGTTGTCTCTATATTGTGGCCTTAGATGTCTCTATATTGTGGCCTTAGATGTTTAGTACAGAAGGACTGCTTTGTTAGAGAGGCAAAGAGTAAAAGGAGGGCTGTTCTGAGTGAGGACAAAGATTCATATTAGAGGTTTAGAGTGTATCCTTTCTTTGTATGGTTCTTTAGTAATCATTAAAAGAGGAATAAAAGTGGCGTAACAAAGCATCAAGTGCTGTTCAACGAGTCCAGATGGCCCCAAATTAATTCAGGGTTTAGTCAATTGTTTTTGCAGACTCTAACGACACCACTCCAGTGATTTTGAGAGGTAAGAAGAATATCAGCCTCTGTCTTCTTTGTCGCTAAGATGAAGACTTCAGCATCAAAATGCAGAAATGCAGAGCTGAAAGTTCATTCAAAAAGGGATTGATGGAAAGAACCACTGAAATGGGGGAATGGAAATCTACAAATGTGGCCTGGAAAAAAAATTTTTGGATGGGATGAACGGAACAGTTGAGAATACACATCACTAAAACAGATGACGGAGCAGAAAGGTTTGGAGTATGAAGCTGCCCTTTAACTTGTTGTTAGAGTCAAATCTATTTTTAGATGATACAGTTTGGTTTCAGGAAGGTTTTGGTGTGCCCTCTTGAGCCAAAATACTCAGCTTGCTCCATTAGACTGCAACCTCTGAACTGAAATGTAGACTTCGTGAAGCCAGACGGGGAAACAATCATCCATTAGAGAAAAGACTGAAGGTCAGGTGTAGCTGTGTAAATGAGCATGGGCCATGCGTGGGAAAGTTACCTGGAGAAGCAGCGGCTTTATTAAGCGAAATATTCATAATTAATGCATTTGATTGCCTGTTAAACCTAGAAACACTTTCTCTTACATTGTAATGGCCTTGACAATTCCGATTTCTACAACAATACCCCTGAAAAGCACAGGGAATGTTATATTGCATCCTGTTTATTAGAAATTACTGCAGTTATTGCCTTCTTAGTGATGCTCTGATTTTATTAAAAGCTGCTTTATTCTTCAAAGAGGTTATTGCCTGAAAATAAAGGCAGAAATCTAATATTAGGCAGGATATGAAGGGATTCCATATTGCTGATGTGGCCTGTTGTTATCATTCATTTGTTTTAAATCCCTTTAGGCTTATCCTGTTTTCACAGAGATATTTCCCACATCTACCCGGATCTGGTATATCATTGTGGATATATTAGTCTGCTGGTCTCGGTCAATCTCCCTTTTTCCTCGTCTTCCGCCTGCCTGTCTGTTGGTCTGCCCCCTGCCTGTCTGCATTTAAACGCTCGGCTTTCTCCTTTTTCCCGACTCCCTGCATTCATTCCTGTCTGTCTGGTACTGTTTGAAAGTGCCCTTTACACGTCAGTGGTAGTGAGGCAGGATGGGTGAGGGAGGGGGGTTTCCAGCGCTCTAACTAGGTCAGTGAAGACGCACCCCTCTCTCCCCTCACTGTGCCCCTGCTCTCCCCCCCCTGTCTCCTCTCTCTCCTTTCTTCCTCGGCTCCCTGCTGTGACGCAATGCAGACTTTCAGGGTCATGTTTCGGTCTTATCATCTGGAAAAACACAACACGGCCTTCCACTTTAGTGATGACAGTGATGCATCCTTCCAAATCAACATCCAGCAAAACACACAAATTGGCTGAACAAAGACAGCTTGCACTTTTTTACAAGTTCGACGAATCAGCTGCACCATACGGATGGGCTCATCGGCCAGTTTCAATGATCTGGTCCATCTTTTTGCTGTGGTGACCGATTACATAATGCTCCGGCATTGCATAATGTTTGTGGGGGTTTTCCATCTGCTATCGGCCACTTGCACATTTGGAGGGGCAGTCAAGTGCACCTTTCAGAAAGCACGTCACTGTTACTGTGCTTTTGTTTCGGCGGCAAGTGTGCTGATGCGTGTGTCAGCGCTGGTAGGCAACAGTTCGGCTATTGCATTCATCTGCTGTTTTTGAAACCCCATAAAATGCTTAACTTGTAACTTACCATGTGTGCGTGCACGCTAAACAGCAAACTCCAAGTATTACATAAGCCCAGCCTCTTTTACCACATTTTTGCACTAGATGTCTCTGTTTCAGCTGGCTGTCCTGCTATGAGTCATCTGGGCAGTTATATATGAACCGAATAACCAGACCTCACCCATGCCTGATTTTAAAATGCAGGGTGTTTATTTCAGTAAACAACGATCTGAGGTGAGATCTATGTGGATGCACTTTGTATTGCATGTGTTGATGGTGTTGAAGCAAGAAGCCAGAAATCGGGTTGGTGAATATGATAAACCTGTTTGGTAACCTGTCAAGAGCTGCATAAAAATTGACAAATATACAGATTTTCCAGTGATTTTTAGCTGATGTATCATGTATGAAATAAATCTCTAAACACAAGAGGATTATTCAGTAATTCCATTCTTCCCCGATTGCATAGTTAGAGGATTACACATAAGAATGAGCTCTGGTCTTGAAAATGAAAGGAAATAGAGGACCCGAGAGAGTGTGTGAGTACAAAGGTAAATGGTAGGCTGAAAATGAGGGAGTGTGTAGCAGTGCCTTGCGGATGGCACACAAGAGATGTAGGTCAGCAGGCCAAAGATGGAGGAAGCAAGGGGGGTACAAGGCGGAAGCGAGAGCGGTCACAGAAAAGGTGCAGGATTCTGGAAAAACTTTTTCCACTTCGCTGATCTTATTTGCTGTTGATGGAAATATCACATGTTGATCCATGTGGGATTGCGTGTGCGTTTGGCGCGTGTATTTGTTGTGCACTTGCACTCACTCGGGAGTAACTGGGTCATGCTCACATGGCCAAGCACATTGATCCCCACTGGAGGTAAACACAGCCGAGTTGCCGTGGAAACCTCATTTTTACTCTCGCCACGTCTTTAC